AGATTTTGAGTTCTGACTTCCATACTGAGATTAAAACAAGGATTTACACAATAGCAAAGAGGACTTTCTAAGGATGATGGGCAGCCATGAGTATGACTGATGTCCACTATGATCACTGAGATAGTTTAAAGTGAGGAATGCAAGTCATATGTTTGGAATATTGTCACTTGCTTAAGGAACAAAAGTTGCCATGCATGAGCTATCTCTGGAAGGTTCCACAGGAAACAGGTAGCTATTATCTCCAGGGAAGGGAACATAATAATCAGGGGTGGAAAGAAGACTTGATTATCACTGTTACTCCCTTGCACCTTTTGATTGAGATGGGTGCAAATTAAAGCAGGAGAGAGAGGGAGGAAGGAGGTGGGAGGAAGAGGAGCGCCATGTTTCTTGCCTCATTCTCAGCGGTAGCTCCATTGCAGCTCTGGAGAAGGACTTTTTACTGTTCTTTGCTCTCCCCTCCCCCCTTTTCCATCCAGTACCTCTAGACAACCAGGCCACACCCTTTCCACCCTGGCAAGGAGAGAATGGTAGAACTTGTCTGGGCATAGCTAGTGTTCATTATCCCTCCAGCTGGAAAGGAGAGTGCAGCTATAATAAGCACCTTCTCCATCTTTGCCCAGGCAAAACGGACGCTGCACACACAAACACAGCTCCCACTTTGTGTGCCCCAAGGACTCAACACAAACAGAAATACCTTTTGTGTATCTGTGTCATTTCTCAGTGTCCAGCACATCTGTGAGCTGGAGATGATAATAAAGAAATGTATTTTGAGTGACACCATATGGGTTTCGTCAAATAAAATCAGCAGTTAGGAAAAAACTGACTACAAGGGGAAGGAAGCACCTTGGGCTTTAACAAGTTCAGGAGCTGGGACTTTCAAAGGCCCTCTGCTCACTGCTTCCCTTTGTGCTCAGCACTGTGCATTGCTCAGCCAATCCACTCTACTCACATTCCAAATGATCACACACTATGACTTACTCATTGCACATCACTTTATCAGTAGACGTGTCAACATTTGTACCCTGGACACGTGAATTTTGAGTTTGGGGGAGATCACTCCTCTTTATCCTCCATGCTTCTGCCACCTGAATCACTATACTGTCTGCTGACTCAAAATGTTGATTTTGCTTATTTTATAAAGAAGGTAAGAGTATGTGAAAATACATGTCAAATACATGAAAATCTGAAATCCATAATACACTTTTTTTAAAGATTTATTTATTTATTTGAAAGAGTTACACAGAGAGAGAAGAGGCAGAGAGAGAAAGGTCTTCCATCGCTGGTTCACTCCCCAGTTGGCTGCAACAGCCAGAGCTGTGCCCATCTGAAGCCAGGAGCCAGATTCTTCTTCCAGGTCTCCCACCCAGGTGCAGGGGCCCAAGAACTTGGGCCATCTTCTACTGCTTTTCCAGGCCATAACAGAGAGCTGGATCGGAAGTGGAGCAGCCGGGACTCGAACCAGCGCCCATTTGGGATGCTGGCACTGCATGCAGTGGCTTTACCCACTATGTCAGAGCACCGGCCCCCATAATGCACTTTTTAACCTACTCCTAACTCAGAACCTTGGGGGATAAGTCAGACCTGTGTACAAGAATGACAGTAACCAGGGCGTAGGTAAAGAATAAAATTAAATTAAAAGCCTGGGACACATCTTGCCGGTGAAACTCACAAATAAAGTGCTAAACAAAGGCAGACACACAATGATGCAAACCATGTGTCTGTTTGTATAATGTGTTGCTGTTGATTTTTTTCTGAGAAGATTCGTTCCTGAGAGGAGGAGCATGGTGGGGGCATGAGGTGCAGAGTCGGGTGAAAGCAGGCCTGAGGAGAGCAGCCTGCAAACTTGTTTATTTCAGTTGCTACAGCTGCTTATATAGCCAAGGCCAGCCAATCCGGTCAAGGGGTGGTCTATGCTCTAACCCATCACAGCCTGTTGCCAGGCAGTTTCCAAAGCCACCCAATCACAGCCTGTTGCCAGTCAGGCTCTTGTTGCCAGGTAGTTTCTGAAACCATCCAATCATGGCCTGCTGTCAGTCAGGCTCTGTTGTCATGTGGTTTCCTCTGTTGTCATGTGGTTTCCAAAGCCATCCAATCACGGCCTGTTGCCAGGCAGTTTCTGTTGTTAGCGGCCATCTTGGCATGACCTTTTCACCTCAGCGGCCATCTTGGCATGACTTTCTCACCTCCTCATTCCACCACAATAACAGACAGAGAGCTGCAAAATCTACAGGTTTGAAGTCAGGCTAATATTACTCCTTGTGAAAACTAGAAGGGACCACTAGGTGTCTTCTGGGAACGAGGGATGTTTTGTTTCAGAATGGGAGTTCATACACAAGGATGTCCCTTCATCAGCTGACAATTCATCAGCTGTATATGCATGGTTTGTGCTCTTGGAGGTAAATATGCATATGTATCTCAAAAAGTCCAAGGAAAATGGAATTAAAAGTTTCTTTGGGGGCCAGAGCCGTGGCGCATTATGTTAATCCTCCTCCTGTGGCACCAGCATCCCATATGGACACCAGTTCTAGTCCTGGCTGCTCCTCTTCCAATCCAGCTCTCTGCTATGGCCTGGGAAATCAGTGGAAGATGGCCAAAGTGCTTAGGTCCCTGTACCCTCGTGGGTGACGGGGAAGAATTTCCTGGCTCCTGGCTTCGGATCAGTGCAGCACTGGCCGTCGCGGCCACCTGGGGAGTGAACCAATGGAAGGAAGACCTTTCTCTCTGTCTCTCCCTCTCACTGTCTGTTATTCTACCTCTCAAATAAGTAAATAAAATCTTTTTTAAAAAAAGTTTCTTTGTGGGCCATTATTGTGGTGCAGTGGGTTAAACTACCCAGACCTGCAACGTTGGCATCCCATATCAGAGTGCCAGTTCAAATCCCTACTGCTCTGTATCTGATCCAGTTCCCTGCTAATGCACTGCGAAGGCAACAGAAGATGGTCCAAGTACCTGGGCCCCTGCCACCCATGGGAGACCCAAATGGAGTTCTGACTCCTGACTTTTGCCTAGCCCCAACTATTGTGGCTATTTGGGAAGTGAACCAGCAGATGGAAGATCTCTTTCTCTTTCTGTCTCTCCTTCTCTCTGTCACTCTACTGTTCAAATTAATAATTCTTTCTAATTTTTTTCTTTTGGTGCAAAAGAATTTGAAATCCATGCATTTAAGGGAGTGTTCAAAAATCTCATCAAAATGAATTATTATGAGTAAATCACTCATAGTTTTCAAACAAATTTTGTATCAAAATAAACATCTTTTTAAATTTTTATGTATTTACTTTATTAGAAAGGCAGAGATTACAATGGCTTCCCCCCCATACCGTCCCTCCCACCCACAACCCTCCCCTTTCCCACTCCCTCTCCCCTTCCATTCACATCAAGATTCATTTTCGATTATCTTGATATACAGAAGATCAGCTTAGTATACATTAAGTAAGGATTTCAACAGTTTGCTCCCACACAGAAACATAAAGTGAAAAATAATAGATGATTTTTTTAATGATGATGAAATCAGATCAGACCTATTGTCATGTTTAATCCCAGTGAGAGTCAAGTTGGGAGTTGATAATTTTTTTTTTTTTTACAGAGGATCAGTTTAGTAGCATTAAGTAAAGATTTCAACAGTTTGCACCCCCATAGAAACACAAAGTGAAATATATTGTTTGAGTACTCGTTATAGCATTAAATTTCAATGCACAGCACATTAAGGACAGAGATCCTACATGAGGAGTAAGTGCACAGTGACTCCTGTTGTTGACTTTACCAATTGACACTCCTGTTTATGGCATCAGTAATCTCCCTATGCTCCAGTCATGAGTTTCCAAGGCTATGGAAGCCCTCTGAGTTCTCCGATTCTTATCTTGTTTAGACAAGGTCATAGTCAAAGTGGAGGTTCTCTCCTCCCTTCAGAGAAAGGTACCTCCTTCTTTGAAGACCTGTTCTTTCCACTGAGATCTCACTCACAGAGATCTTTTGCCAGAGTGTCTTGGCTTTCCATGCCTGAAATACTCTCATGGGCTTTTCAGCCAGATCCGAATGCCTTTAGGGCTTATTCTGAGGCCAGAGTGCTATTTAGGACATCTGCCATTCTATGAGTCTGCTGAGTATCTCACTTCCCATGTTGGATCACTCTCCCCTTTATTTATTCTATCGGTTAGTGTTAGCAGGTACTAGACTTGCTTATGTGCTCCCTTTGACTCTTAGTCCTTTCATTATGATCAATTGTGAACTGAAATTGATCACTTGGACTAGTGAGATGGCATTGGTACATGCCACCTTGATGGGATTAAATTGGAGTACCCTGGTATGTTTCTAACTCTACCATTTGGGGCAAGTCAGCTTGAGCATGTCCCAAATTATACATCTCTTCCCTCTCTTATTCCTACTCTTGTGTTTAACAGGGATCACATTTACCCAAAGGAATTTAAATTGGCAAACAAAAAAGCGGTCTGCAGCCTAATGTTTATTGCAGCTCAATTCACAATAGCTAAGACCTGGAACCAACCTAAATGCCCATCAACGGTAGACTGGATAAAGAAATTATGGGATATGTACTCTTTAGAATACTATACCGCAGTAAGAAACAACGAAATCCAGTCATTTGCAACAAAATGGAGGAATCTGGAACACATCATGCTGAGTGAAATAAGCCAGTCCCAAAGGGACAAATACCATATGTTCTCCCTGATTGGTGACAACTGACTGAACACCAAAAAGGAAACCTGTTGAAGTGGAATGGACACTATGGGAAACGGTGACTTGATCAGCATAGCCCTGACTGTTAATGAACAACTTAATACATTATCCCTCTTAGTAGTTTTTTGTCTGTTCTACTTAATATGACTGGTTTAATTCTGTAATTAATACACAGTTATTCTTAAGTGTTGAAATTTAACTGAAATGTGATCCCTGTTAAACACAAGAGTAGGCACAGCCACCTTTTGCCCTTCAAAAACAAAAAGAAAATGCAAACTGCGCCTCCTCTCCAGCCAGCGCGAGACTCAGCAGGCCCAGGACTGGGCGTGCCCTCGCCTGCCCCGCCGCAGCGCGCCAGCCCCGACCATGCAGCTGGGGGCGCGCAGGGAGAAGACCGTGCCCCCTGCGCACAGCGCCGGGAGAGGTGCGGGAACCCAGCCTCGGCTGGAGGCCCCGGGACCTCTGGGCCCCTGAGCCTAGCAGAGCAGTAGCCGCCCCGCTGAACTTGGAGTGGCCTCTGCCGGTGCTCTAGGGGCGCAGTTCACTGGCCGGTCTGCAAGTTTCCTTGGAGGCGACAGAGTCCAGGAAAGGAGGTGGGTGCGAAGGGGCTAGGGTTAGGGACCCGGGTATCGGGAGGCTGCGATGGGCACCGCTGACCCCTAACCTTCCCGCCCCTTTACCTTCTGCAGCTCCTTGCATTTAAATGACTATAGTACCAGCTCCGTGCGCCACCTTCTCTGGCCCTGCGCCTCTGGCCGCTGCCTTTAACTGGGGTGAGGGGCAGGTGTTTGTTGTCCACTCAAGATCTGCAGAGCTGGCAGACGCGGGCGGAGTGGCCTTTGGAAGCAAAACACCCTAAGAGCTTCCTTCCAGGGGGAGCGCTGGAACCTGTTCCCCGCACCTTTTTGCTTTCTTTCTTCCTTGCATTTCCTACACGGAGCTTCGCCCCCGGGGAAGCTGCGTCGGCAGGGGCTCTTGGCCTCTTGCCTTGGTCTCCTCCGTTGCGTTTCGGGGCTCAAGTTTGCTGCTCTCCGCAGCAAGTAACAGCTTGCTGCGGATGAGAGGTTCGCTCAAAAACGAAGGTGCAGAAAGATAGGGAAGGAATGTGGGGAAACCAGATTGTCTGATTTTAGACTGGATCTCATTATAAGGAAATGGCCAATCTATCGCCCAAGGGAGCAGTGTTCTGATCTCACAGGTTAGGAGAAGAGAAGAAATGGCATCCAATTGCCAGGGACAAGCAATCAGAAGTCCTGGCAACTCAAAAGTGTGCATCACTTGTGAGGAGTGCAGGGTCTCTTGACCTGCCTGCTTCTGGAGAAAATCTGCATTTGATTATGAGACGCCCTGTTGAAGGAGTTTGAGTGCATTGCTCTTCCTCAACAGTAGCCCTTGTGAAAGCATGGGTCTCTTAGAAGCTCTCAGTACATAATAAAGCGAAAAAGAGCTGTTATCATGATTTAAATGGTTTTTATTTTAAGTGTTTGAAACAACCCAGAGTAGTAGCAGTATTTCTTTCTGTGTAAAGTAAGAGAGAACTGACATCTCAAGTTTTGCTTAAGTTCTGCCAGTTTTGGATTCTGATGTTCCGATGGTCACCCTACAATGTCCCAGGGTTGATCCTGCTAGGTTTTTGCCTTCCCAGAGCCTCAAGTGAGGGGAAATGAAGTTCCCCTTGGAACTTGAAGTTCTCACCCCGATCTGTACTTGAAAATGTTAGCTTTTTAGGTCTGTCACTGCCGTTTTTTCCATCTTTTGCCAAAAGTGTATCTAAAACCTCAATTTGTATATCAATTTTATATGGTACAAAAGCAGAAGCTTGAATCAAATACATGACAGTAATTATTAATACCTACCATCTTGGCATGCACTTATGTTAAAGCTACATGTTATATTGTAATAACTAAAATAAACATTTTTGTTATATTTTTATTTTTGGAGATTTCATGCTACAAGATACTAATATTTTGGGAGGAATGTATTAATACATGTGTAATAGAGATATTAGAGATAGAGAAAGATGTAATGGCATCCTTTTGTCAAGTCAGCTTTATGAGGTGTAATTTGCACACAACAAAATGCATTGAACTGGCGGTGCCGCGGCTCACTAGGCTAATCCTCCACCTTGTGGCGCCGGCACACGGGGTTCTAGTTCCGGTCAGGGCACCGGATTCTGTCCAGGTTGCCCCTCTTCCAGGCCAGCTCTCTGCTGTGGCCAGGGAGTACAGTGGAGGATGGCCCAAGTACTTGGGCCCTGCACCCCATGGGAGACCAACATAAGTACCTGGCTCCTGCCATCAGATCAGCGCGGTGCGCCAGGCACAGCGCGCTGGCTGCGGCGGCCATTGGAGGGTGAACCAACAGCAAAGGAAGACCTTTCTGTCTGTCTCTCTCTCACTGTCCGCTCTGCCTGTCCAAAAAAAAATAAAAAATAAAAAAATGCATTGAACTGTATATTTTATATCTGCGCATTTTACTGCATGGGAATTATACCTCAATAAAGTTTATTTTTAAGAAATATATCGTGAAGGAGTGCCATAGTTTATTGCCTGCTGCTAGAATAGTTCAGAGAAAGTCAAGAAAAAGCAAAAGAGCAGGAAAGTGAAGATGGGGACACTGGGTGGACAAAGGAAAATGCAGCCAAGTGGTCCCGAAGGAGTGGATGAGTAGAAAGACGGAGTCCATCCATTTAGATGATCTGAAGCCATTTTTATAAGACTTCTTAAAGCTAAGATGCTGAATTTAACCTCTAAGGCATTGGGCACACTGCAGTTTTTGGAAGAGGAAGCTAAAATGAAAAGCAAAAACATTAGAAAAAATAAAGTTGTGTTCCGCAGAATCTCCCGGCATGTTGCAGTTTCTTCCTCATGTTCTGCTCTGTCTGCCTTTCCACTAGTCAGACACCTGCCTGGGCCACAATGCTGTCGTCCGGTGACTTTGCATCTGCTTCCTGGGAGCTCGTGGTGCGTGTTGACCACCCAAACGAAGAGGAGCAGAAAGATGTCACACTCAGAGTGTCTGGAGACCTGCATGTCGGGGGAGTGATGCTCAAGTTGGTAGAACAGATCAGTAAGTTACTCTTGCCTTGTGATTTCTCTGTATTTGAAATCCTCTCTGGTGCATCCCCAACGAATAGGAGCCTTCTTGTTATCTGGGATCTGATCAGTTAGCTTTTCTGATCGCTCCCTTTATAATGGCCCAAAGTAGCAAGCACTCGCTGCCTCCAAATCTCATGCAGGAAGAAGGAGAGAATCTGGGGACTGTGCAAGAGCCTCAGGTTGAATCCAGTCACCCGCCTCTGGGATCACTTGAATGCTAGATGGCGAATTAAAGCTCCCCAACTGATCTAATGCCCATTCCACTGGTAACATCTCAGGGGGCCCTGGGCGGCAGGAAATTAGACTACTACTCTGTTGGTTCCCTGCTAATACTTGGAAGCTCAGTCTTCAAGTTAGCTGGATGCTCCGTGTCTTTAACACTCTGTCTGTATAAACAAAGGAGAGCCAACATCGTGTTTGTAGAATTTAACAGTGTTGTTTTCTTTGTATTTCTTTTTATTTCCTGACCTCCATGCTGGCTTCTCATTTACACTAGTGAGAGAAAGTCCTTTTTAAATAAATGTAATATATATACAGAGATGTACACCTATCCATACCTCTTATCAGAGTGCTTGGGTTCCATACTCACCTCCTCTTCCTCACTCCAGATTCCTATCCATGCAGGCTGTGGGAGGCAGCAGGTGCTGGCTCAAGTATGCCACCCACGTAGGAAACATGGATTATTTCCTGCCTGTCCCCACCTTTCACAGGTATCTGGGGAGTGAACCAGCAGGAAGCTCATTCTCTCTCTCTCTCTCTCTCTCTCTCTCGCTGAGAAGTAAAATAATTATTATTGAAAGTCTTGACTTTAAAAAAAAATAGATACACCAATTTCTACTTCTTTTTTTTTTTTTTTTTGACAGGCAGAGTGGACAGTGAGAGAGAGAGAGACAGAGAGAAAGGTCTTCCTTTGCCGTTGGTTCACCCTCCAATGGCCGCCGCGGCCAGCGCACCGCGCTGATCCGATGGCAGGAGCCAGGAGCCAGGTGCTTTTCCTGGTCTCCCATGGGGTGCAGGGCCCAAGCACCTGGGCCATCCTCCACTGCACTCCCGGGCCACAGCAGAGAGCTGGCCTGGAAGAGGGGCAACCGGGACAGAATCCGGCGCCCCAACCGGGACTAGAACCCAGTGTGCCGGCGCCGCTAGGCGGAGGATTAACCTAGTGAGCCGCGGCGCCGGACCCAATTTCCACTTCTACTAACAGCATTGAAGGAAAGGTTTTCTTATTTAAAGCGAGAGAAAGAGACTATTTAAAGAAAAAAGGAAAATACAGGGGCCTCTTAATTTCACAAAATAAAAGATTAAATACTGACTCCAGCAACGCTGAAAGGAAAAAACTCGAATGCCAACATTGAAGGAGAGGAAAGATTTGCCGTTAATGCCTTCAAAGCAAGGGAGCGAGTTTTCAACTCTGATTTCAGTGTAGAACTTTGGAAGAAGGGTGGCAGGGCTGACGAGTACTGGGCATTTCTGAGAAGGCTGAGGTGTCAGCTCTACGGCAGTCCTGACTGCACTCTCGCTGGGGACTACTGGTCCTCCCGTGTGACGCCGTGGTGCAAGCACACATGTCTACAAAAGAAGAGAACTTCACTAACCAAAGCCACACGGTTCTGGCCTGCCTAGAATACATCATGGCACCCAGGGGTGTTAAGGACAAAGACGCTAGCATTTATCATGAGCAAACATTTTATGTGCCTGTTCTTTCCACAGTATTTATTTATTTTTTTAAGATTTATTTTTTAAAGATTTATTTATTTATTTTAAAGGCAGAGTTACAGGCCGGCGCCGTGGCTTACTAGGCTAATCCTCCACCTGAGGCACCGGCACACCGGGTTCTAGTCCCGGTCGGGGCACCAGATTCTGTCCCAGTTGCTCCTCTTCCAGTCCAGCTCTCTGCTGTGGCCTGGGAGTGCAGTGGAGGATGGCCCAAGTGCTTGGGCCCTATACCTGCATGGGAGACCAGGAGAAGCACCTGGCTCCTGGCTTCGGATCAGCATGATGCGCTGGCCGCAGCGCACTGGCAGCAGCAGTCATTGGAGGGTGAACCAACGGCAAAAGGAAGACCTTTCTCTCTGCCTCTCTCTCTCTCTCACTGTCCACTCTGCCTGTCAAATAAATAAATAAATAAATAAAGGCAGAGTTACAAAGAGGCAGAGAGAGAGAGAGAGGTCTTCCATCTGCTGGTTCACTCCCAGATTGGCCACAATGGCTGGAGCTGTGCCAATCCTAAGCCAGGAGCCAAGAGCTTCTTCCAGGTCTCCCATCTGGATGCAGGGGCCCAAGCCTTGGGCCATCTTCTACTGCTTTCTGAGGCCAAAGAAGAGAGCTGGGTCTAAAGTGGAGCAGTCAGGACTTGAACTGGTACCTATATGGAATGCCAGCACTGCAGACTGGGGCCTTAACTCTTACCTCGCTGTGCCACAACACCAGCCCCTCTGCAGTATTTAAATGTAGATGCTAGGTCACGTGACAGTCACCTGTTGTTCTCCCTGCCTCACCTCTGGGGTCTTTGGAGAGAAGCCAGGGACTGTCGGGCCTGGGACTGTGGAAAGAGGTAGGGGGCTGAGGAGGTGTTGTTTATTGCAATTTCTGCACACCCCTACCTGGGTTCTGCAGTGCCTGGACCCTCCCTGTGAGTCTTGCCCTGGTTCATGGTATTCTCTGTGTTATCCGTTCTTGCAGACCTGCCACAGGACTGGTCAGACTTTGCCCTTTGGTGGGAGCAGAAGCGTTGCTGGCTTCTGAAAACCCACTGGACCCTGGACAAATGTGGAGTTCAGGCGGATGCCAAGCTTCTGTTCACCCCCCAGCATAAAACTCTTCGCCTTCGCCTGCCAAACATGAAGACAGTGCGGTTGCGGGTCAGCTTCTCAGCTGTGGTGTTCAGAGCTGTGAGTGACATCTGCAGGACCCTGAGTAAGTACCCTGTGCCCTGTGGACTCTCAGGAGCGGACAGGAAACTGGTGTCCGCCTCCCGCCTGCCTGGCATGGTGGGCTCAGGGACACTCTCTCGTTAGTGGCACACTTCAGCCCAGACATACTGCAGACGTCTAAGAGGCATTAAACCAAAGAGAACTCTGCCGGCATAAATCAGATTCATTTCCACAAACCTTAAAACTATTTCGAAAGAGGGTGATAAAAAGCAGAGCCAGACCGTTAAGATTACCCATCCCAATTCATTTCTCCAAGCTATACTCAAGCCACTATTATAGTTAAGACAAAAGAGTTCCGTTACACCTGTCATCACTCTGCGGCTCGTGTGACTGTAGTGGTTTTGAGATAGTGGTGTTGCAACGTCTTAATTGTTTCATAAACACCTGGCTCTACGAAATTGCAGTGTCTGCAAAAAGCACTTTTGAGTCAGAACACTACACGGACTGATGACTAGAAACTCATTTCTCTATAGGTTGGTAGCCCATGAGCGTAACATTTATGCGACTCTATAAAGAGAATCTTGTGCCATGAGTATACTCTTACTTTATATTTTCTGAAAGTGTATATTTTGATTCCAAGGTCAAAGTCAGCCCGTGGTGCTGCCTAGCTACTATGTCACTGAGTAATCTATCTTATTCATTAAACTATGTGCTGCGTCATTCGCTCACTCAGAGACTGTTTACTAAGCACCTGCTATGCACCAGGGGTCGTGATGAGTGCTGGGGATACATGAGTGATAAAGATGACTGAAACCCCTTCCCTCCTGGTGCTAACATGCTGGCAGGCAGAGTCAGAGCACAACCAATGCATGTAATAAAAAAGACAAGACCATAGGGTAGGTGGTGGAAAGCGGTAGGTGGTAAAACAAGGGGGAAGGTGCCAGCAGGACGGGGAATGCCAGTGTTGGGCAGTGGGGACCGAGGAAAGGGTGTGAGCACAGAAGCCACTTCATGAGCAGCTCCACGCTCCCAGCTCCTGCACGATGCCCGCACACAGCATGCACAGTATGTGTTTGTACAGTAAGTGACTGAAAGTTCCAGTAGTCTTGCTGCCAGCGGCTGGGCAAATGGCAGGAGCAAATGCACTGTGTTTTCAGTGATATTATAATAGGGATTTGAAAACAAGACGACTTTCTTTTATATATAAGTAAATCAAATCGCATCCCCCACACACTGCCGTGGACTGGAGGCACACGTGGCAGCTGAGCACAAGCACGTGAGGTTTCAGAGGAGTGGGAGCATTCTGATGTGACTTTTCCTGAAGATAGCGTTCGTGGTGCTTCCAAGGGCTCAACCTGGTACTTCTTTTCTTTTCTTTCCTTTCCTTTCCTTTCCTTTCCTTTCCTTTCCTTTCCTTTCCTTTCCTTTTCTTTTCCTTTCTCTTCCTTTCTTTTATTTTCTTTTCTTTAATAACTTATTTGAAAGACAGAGTTGCAGAGAAAGAAGAGAAACAGAGAAAGATCTTCCATCTAGTTCATTCTCCATATGGCTACAAAGGCCGGGGCTGGGCCAAGCCAAAGTCAAGAGCCAGGAGCTTCTTCCAGGTCTCCCATGTGGGTGCAGGGGCCCAAGCACTTGGGCCATCCTCCACTGCCTTCCCAGGTGCATTAGCTGGGAGCTGGCTCGGAAGTGGAGCGGCCAGGACTCGATCCAGAGCTCAGGAAGCAACTAAACCCATTGTGCCACAGTGCTGGCCTCTCAATCTGACATTTCTAATCATTGCTTTTTATATCTAATCAATTGAAGCTAACTCAAATTTAGCAGGATGATGCATTTTCTGTTTAAAAAATACATAAATTTTGGACTTGTAGATATGGGGGTTTTGTTCTGTTGTCTGTTTTATCTTCACTGATCATGCCTGAAGTTTCCACTCACCACCAGGCTGCTGTCTAAATTGTGCATCCAAAATGGTCATAGGTGTGCATTGCAATCTTTCGATCAAGTGTGCTCGGTGACTGGAAAGAGTCTGGTTCGAGTGCTGGCTCAGTCTCAGCACTGAGCACCTATGAACTGAGGAGACGGAAGGTGGAAGGGCCCACAGAGCTGAGACAGCCACATGCCTGAGCTTTTACCTGGGACTGTAGCCAGTCAGTGCAGTTAATGATTGTCTGCCAATCTGATCAGCAATTATAAATATATTTGGTGAATGAGGAAATGGGGAATGCCAGTCTGGCTTCTGGAAGCAGATCTCGAGATAAGGATGCAGGTGCAAGTAGTTTGAGAAGTGATGCCAGGGAATACTGGTAGGGGGTAGAGAAGTGAGACGAGGAAGAGAAGGCCACCAGTCAGAAAGAGTATGTCACCAACCAAGTCATGCCATGGCAACTGGGGTGCCTAGGAGACAGCATAGACAGCCCCAGGGCTGTCCCACCCAGAGGACAAAGTGTGTATGCCGCACTCTCATCAGCCGCTGAGGGCTGCTCTAGGGACCATTCATTCCCCGACCACGTGGACTGTTTTACAGGCCCTGGCCCTGGGACATCAGGTTGACAGGCACTGAAATGGACAGGGCCAACAGGAGATGGGCGGGCCTGGGGACACCTGCCACAGGCGGAAAGGAGCTGCTGGGCTGGAGGTGGGAGAAAGGTTTTCAGGACCTGTGATTCATAAGGAAAACAGCAAGTAAGACCCTTGGTGGTTGTTTTAAAAACCAAAAAAGAAAAGAAAAAGAGAGAGGAAGGGAGGGAAAGAAAATTGATGGTAAATAGATGACACAGAAGAGCGAATGGGGACAGGTGTTTGGCACAGCAGTTAAGTCCCTGCTCAGGACACCCAAAGCCATTATCAGAGTGGCTGGTTCGAGTCCCTGCTATTCTGCTTCCAATCCGGCTTCCTGCTACTTCATGCCCTGGGAGGCAGTATGTGAGGATCAAGTACTTGGGTCCCTGCCACCCTTGTGGGAGACCCAGCTGGAGCTCTGGGCTCCTGGATTTGGCCCAGCCCTGGCTGTTTCAGGCATTTTGGGAGTGAACCAATGGATGGAAGATTTCTCTCCATCTCTCTCTCTCTCTCTCTCTCCCCCCTCTCTCTATAACTCTGCCTTTCAAATAAATAAAATATACCTTTTTAAAAATTAAAAAAATAAGCTAGGAATGTTATCAGACTGAATCTCCAGACACGATTTTCTCCATCGTATGTTCCTCTTCTGTTAATTGATGCAACTAGTTACTTTACTTCTCGTGAATTTCCTGAGAAATTGCTTCAAATGCACAGAATGGCTCTTAGGAGGGATTTTCTTTATGCTTTTCATTTTACTTCTTTTAAATTGTTATTTGTTAGTTTGGGGTTTTATTTTACATTTAGATATTAGAAGATCAGAAGAACTGTCCTTATTAAAACTTTCTGGTGACTGTTTCAAGAAGAAGAAGAAAAAAGACAAAAGTAATAAGGAATCTGTAATTGAAGATGTACTAAACCTTGAGAGTTCTTCAACAAGTTCAGGTTCACCAGGTGAGATTTGTGGCACGAGTTTTGACGTTGCTTTAATTTGTGAATATGGAGTAAAACCCACCAGAAGAATGTTCATCTCCCCACACTCCCAAAGGAGGAATAAAATCGCAGATTTTTAAAAAACAAATCTGCTCAATAATCTATTACTGTAATTTTAAGATTATTTTATTGATTTTGAAAGGCAGAGAGAGAGAGAATCTTCCCTCTGCTGGTTTACTCCCCAAATAGCTGCAATGGCAAGGACTGAGCCAGGCTGAAGATAGGAGCCCAGAGTTCTCCCAGGCACATTAGCAGGGAACTGGATAGCGGCTGGGACACTCTGACATGAGATGCCAGAGTGGCAAGTGGTAGCCTTACCCGCTGCACCATGCCAGCCCCAGTTATCTATTATTTTAATAGTGTATCTTGGGGCCGGTGTTAGGGCATAGTAGGTTAATCCTCCACATGCCATGCCAGCATCCCATATGGGCGCCGGTTCTAGTCCAATCTGCTCCTCTCCCAATCCAGCTCTCTGCTGTGGCCTGGGAAAGCCATAGAAGATGGCCCAAGTCCTTGGGCTCCTGCACCCACATGGGAGACCAGGAAGAAGCTCCTGGCTTCAGATCAACCCAGCTCCAGCCATTGCGGCATTTGGGGAGTGAACCAGTGGATGGAAGGCCTTTCTCTCTGTCTCTCCCTATCACTGTCTGTAACTCTACCTCACAAACAAATAGCAAATAAAATCGTTTAAAAAATGGTATATCTTATGTTACTGATGTATACAAAGTTTAGTACAATTGGACATGAATTTGGGATTAAAAAAAGACTGATTTTTAGAAAAGAGAAAAGTTGGATCCCTTGAATATACATCTCTCTTCCTGGTTCTGTTTTTGTGTGGTTCTTTCCTGGATTCAGTTTTTTTTCTAGGGCAGATAAAAGTTAGGGAGGAGTATTACCATTCCCTTTTTATAGCAAATAATCAAATCTCCAGCTTTCGTGTAACATTGAGGTCTTCCTGACAAGTCTATTCCAATGCAAAGAAAAAAGAGGGTATTTGCACTTTATGCAGGTTAGAGTCAGATGATCAGCATGCTGGATCTTAAGACTGGTCAGTGCTGCCCTTTGCTGAAGCAGCTGGGAAACACAGAAGGTGCGCACAACACAGCTGCGAGGGCTCCAGATCTCTACTGAGCATCCTAAGACTCCTGCTGAAAGAGGAGAGCTTTGGATTATTAGAGAAGAGATGGACCCCAACGTTCATCTGGGTTAGTTTGGGGAAGCTTTTGTGTCTGATTTCCCATGTTTTCCAAGAATTGAATATAGAGACAAGACTGCTTCCTGTGTATAGCTCATCTCTACCGTGGTGACTCATAGGATTCCTCTATGTGGTACAAACCTTGAAGGCCAAAATTCAGTTTAGTGTAAGGAGTGTGAATAGTAATTTTGCTGAGGATCCCCACTGCCCTAGTCTCACGTCAGAATGCCTGCTCCCTTGTCTTTCAGTAAGTCCTGGCTTGTACAGTAAGACCATGACTCCAACATACGACCCCATCAACGGAACACCCGTGTCATCCACCATGACATGGTTCAGTGACAGCCCCCTGACGGAACAGAACTGCAGCATCCTGGCCTTCAGCCAGCCTCCCCAGCCACCAGACGCACTCACTGACGTGTACCAGCCTCGGACTCTGCTCGACAAAGCCAAGTTTAACGCAGGGTCAGGACATGGCCATTTTGCTTCTCTCTGAACTGCTGCTGATGAAAGCGAGGGGAGGGGTGTTGAATTTTTAATATAGTAGACCTGGGGATCATTAGCAAAAGTTGATGCTGATTTTATCGACAAAAAGGGAGGGAGGGAGAATGCAGACTTTGGTCATTTCAGTACATTTTAAAAGAACAGAATGTATGTGCTTAGAAAACAGAATACCATACTGGATACTAATTCCTCGCCACTATGGTGTGCAAGTGTATTTTGTGGGCTGTAGAATGGCAGTTCAGGAGTGTTGTCTCTGCAGGCCAGCAGGGGAGCTGCAAGGTGGCCCGCGGGCTCCCACTTCTCTTGTAGGATATCACTTCTCTCCCCAGGAGACACCAAGACCAGGAGCCCTGTTTGAAATGATTCAGAAAACACACCCAAAGTATTTTCCAAACCACCATTTCTTTGGCTCCCCCTTGCCACTAAAAGTCAAAGTTGTTGGCAGCATTCAATTCTCTTTAAGAGATGTCTCTGTGTCCCCCATTCAGACCTGGGGCACCCCTGCACCTGCTTTCATGGCTGCATCTCTAGGACCATCCCTCTTGACAGTCTCCACTGCTCAATCACTCCCTTTAAGGCTGCCCTGTCCCCTTCCCACACATCTCCATTCGAGAGCGATCACTTTCCTGTGGTGCTGACATTTCGCTTGCTCCGCGGACGCAGACGCAATGGCCCTTTATTATTATGAAGCGTGGTCTCCCCAGCTGGACTGTCAACTCCCTGGAGGATGGAGGTGACTTGTTGGTCACCCTTGTTGCCCCACAGGGTGTCAAACGATAGACATTCAAGGCATTTTTATTTGATGACATTACATTAGATGGCAATCATCCCCTTATGGTTGTCTTAGTAGCTTTTCATCTCCACCATCTCCTTATCATTATCTGTTTTTATTTTTCAACCTTAGGAATCTTTTACTCAATACAGAAACCACCAGCCACATATGGATATCTAAATTTGAATTTGAATTTAAATGAATTAAAATAGAGCACTATTCACATTTAAATACTCGGTAGCCACCTGAGGCTAGAAGCTCACATACTAGACTGCAGACATGAATATTTCTTTTATTGTGAAAAGTTCTGGACAATAAGATTGAGCTGGCTTTAAGTGAACCACCTGGTACAGTGGAGATCTAGTGCAGACAGAGTCTCCTGATGGCTGCACCACACAGCGTGTGACAGATCCCTTAATGTCACTGAGACACAGTTTTGTCTCCTGTAAACAGAGGTCGCGAGAGCTGCCCTGGCCACTTCTCTGTTACTGAAACTGTCAATGAGTGGAGGGAAAACTACTCACACCGACACACAAGGGCACTTCAAAAAGTTCCATGGAGAGTTGAACTAAAACTATGGGTGTGTTTTGGTAAAAAAAATTTTTGATGTAGAACAGATTTTTAGATTACATGGAAAATGGCCTATTGTGTCCTATGTGGAAAAACCCACCAAAGTCAAGTCAGACTTTTCCATGAACTTCTTGAAGTACCTTTCTGAAGTATGTGTATGTATGTGTGTGAAAGTATATGATAAAATGCATAAGCTATTATATGCTTACTTATTATATGGTTTGGGTTATAGTAATTTGATTTTGTTCAAGGATATATATATATGTATATATGTAATAACTAATAGGGTATTTCAAAAAGTTCATGGAAATTGAATTAAAAGATGTTTGTTTTGGTAATTTGTAGAAAATGTATATTATGAAAAAACTGCATGTCTTTTGCAGGCTTTTTGCACCATGTATCTTTTAGATTTATTTTTCCATGCACATTTTTAAATGCCCTCATCTGTAACATAGCATAACAGATGTGCACAAACAATGATTGACGTTTAAATCTCATCCTAGCTTTTTGTTTTCCAGCTGGCTGGACTCCTCCCGCTCCCTTATGGAGCAAGGCATCCAAGAAGACGAGCAGCTGCTGCTGCGGTTTAAATACTACAGTTTCTTTGACCTGAACCCTAAAGTAAGACACGTTCCTCTTTTCCGATTTCTCTTTCCCTTTTAATGTGCATGCATGGAAGTGCAAAACTGAGTCACTTAGTTAACACAATTAGGATGAATGTGTATGATCTCTTCAGTTCTGCAAGGTGACACTGATCCATGAGCACTCGTCTGTGAAATTTCATATGTTGGTTTCCGGTGAGCATGCTGAGTGACCCCTGAGTTCGCAGGTGTCTCTGGGGATCTCTGTATCTCTGTGCCCTGCGTGGTGCGTGCTGCAGATTCATAGGAGTGGAGGAACGGGAGAAAGTGGCTCATGGCGCTGGAGCCTTCGAGGCTTAGGGAGGAAGGTGTCGCTCCCCATCTTCGTGGGGGAACGACACTAAACCCTGCCTAGGCTTCATATCCGAGTCACGGCACCATTATGTCGCTCCCCCTCTTCATGGAGGAATGACACAGGACCCTGCGCTGTTCTTTCGTCTGCTCGGTCCTTCCCGGGTTTGCTGCTGGTTCTTCCCGGGTTGGCTACCGACCCTTCCACCTCCGTGGAAGGGTGGTTCCCCCTGCCACATTCCCCACTTCCGCGGGGGAGCGGCACACCGCCGGCCAGCTCTCTCAGGGGCTGCACAGGTGTTCCCCTTAGATGTTCCCCTTAGATGTTCCTGGTGCATGCCGTCTCTCTCTTCCTTTATAGTCCTCCTCCGCCAATCCCAACTCGGCTGCCCACACGCCGAGTACGCTGCTCTCCAATCAGGAGCAAGTCCTACAGTTTATTGGTTGAACTGGAGGCAGCTGTGCGGAAGCTGTTTACTTCTCTCCCAGCGCCATATTGTGGGAGAGCAGATGCACAGAATAAGTCTTAATTCCAGTAACTCAGTCCAGTCCGGGTTGCTCCCCACAGATCCCCCTTTCTTTTTATTTTTTGGCGTTGATACGCGCCTGTCTTCGGTGTCCCGCAGCACACACTCTGCTCTACTTGCTAGAGTTGCCACAGGTTCTTACACGTCCTATCAATCAGGCAAACCGAATCCGGGTCCTCTCTTCGCCATGTTGTGAGGAGGTTTTTAGGCGCTGATGCGTGCCTGTGTTCGGTGCCCCGCAGCGCATGCTCTGCTCTGCCTGCAGGGGCTTACAAGCCCTAACAATCAGGCAAACCGAATCCAAGCCTTCTCATTGCCGTATTGTGGGGGAGACTTATTAGTGTTGGTTCGTGCCTATCTTCGGTGACCTGCAGCTCATACTCTGGTCGAGCTGCTTGCTGGTGCTTACCGCCTTAATCAGGCAGACCGAATCCAAGCCTCCTAATTGCTGTATTGTGGGGAGGCCTTACTGATGTTAATTCGTGCCTGTCTTCGGTGACCTGCGGCGCATAAGCTGCTAGCCGCCGCAGGTGCTCATCGCCTCACTTAATAAGGCAGACCGAATCCAAGCTCTCACATTGCAGTGTTGTGGGGAGGCCTTATTGATGTTAATTTGTGCCTGTCTTCGGTGACCTGCGGCGCATAAGCTGCTAGCCGCCTCAGGTGCTCATCGCCTCACTAATCGGGCAGACCGAATCCAAGCTCTCTCATTGCCATGTTGTGGGGAGGCCTTTCTATTTCTCTATTTCTCTATCTCCGGGCATTCCTATTTCTCCCATTTTACTTCTATCTTCCAGCATTCCTATTTCTCTCATTTTACTTCTAAACTTCTGTTTCTCTTATCCCTGCGGCTTCCCGGCGGCGCCCGCCCCGAGGCTGCTTCTCGGCACCTCGCCCCACGGCAGCTTCACGGCTCTGCGCGGCTTCCCGGCGCCTCGCCCCGCCAGCGGGTTCCCGGCTCTGCGCGCACGCTCCGCGGTCTCCACGCACTTCGCGCCCGCACCACGGCCTCGCGCCAGCCCCGCGTTCCCTATCTATTCACGCCCCGTGCTCTCTCTGCACGCGGCGGCTTCCGCGAATGTTTCCGCCACCACCGGCATTCAGTCCAAGTTCCCCGGACTAACCTGGCGAATTTCAACCTGGCGGCCCACGTCTCTGCCTCTGGTTCCAGATCTTCGCCTCTTGCTCCCCGGGGTGACTTGAAGAATTCCAAGGTGGCTTATGTCTCCGCCTCGGCCTGCACTCGCGGCTTCATCCTCCCTAACATTTTTCTCTACCCGGTATGTTTCCTTAAGTTTTCTTCCAACAATATTCCTCTCATTTCTCCTGGCTACTCCCCACAGTCCGTATCCGAGTCCAAGCCTCCTCCAGGTTTCACTTTCGCTTTCAATCTCCTAGCTTCCCCGCCATAGTCCGCATCCGAGTCTATGAAAGCTTTCACTTTCGCTTTCAATCCTAACTTCTTTCCCACAGTCCATATCCGAGTCTATGCCTAGGCTTTCAATAGCTTCTTCCGGCACCTTTTCCATCCAGCTTTTCCCTAGGCTGTTTGCTAGTCTCTCTCTCCGGTATTTTCCCATTTCTTTCCTCCTAAGTTTCCTATCCGTCCTAGGTTTCCTATCCGAGTCACGGCACCATTATGTCGCTCCCCGTCTTCGTGGGGGAACGACACTAAACCCTGCCTAGGCTTCATATCCGAGTCACGGCACCATTATGTCGCTCCCCCTCTTCATGGAGGAATGACACAGGACCCTGCGCTGTTCTTTCGTCTGCTCGGCCCTTCCCGGGTTTGCTGCTGGTTCTTCCCGGGTTGGCTACCGACCCTTCCACCTCCGTGGAAGGGTGGTTCCCCCTGCCACATTCCCCACTTCCGCGGGGGAGCGGCACACCGCCGGCCGGCTCTCTCGGGGGCTGCACAGGTGTTCCCCTTAGATGTTCCCCTTAGATGTTCCTGGTGCATGCCGTCTCTCTCTTCCTTTATAGTCCTCCTCCGCCAATCCCAACTCGGCTGCCCACACGCCGAGTACGCTGCTCTCCAATCAGGAGCAAGTCCTACAGTTTATTGGTTGAACTGGAGGCAGCTGTGCGGAAGCTGTTTACTTCTCTCCCAGCGCCATATTGTGGGAGAGCAGATGCACAGAATAAGTCTTAATTCCAGTAACTCAGTCCAGTCCGGGTTGCTCCCCACAGAAGGGTGTTTTCAGAGGCCAAGGTGAAGGGGAAGTTCCCATGAGCAAGCCATGACCATGTGGTAGTACAGGCAAGACTTTCGTTTGTGTGCTTGCCAAATCTTTGATGATAAGTAACAGGGATTGTCTAGATAAATGAAGCCGCCAGGTGGTTACCACCTCCATTTTCAGTGCACACCTCCCACCCCACCAGAGGTTTATTGGGACAACTAAGGCCTTTGAACTTCTGTCCTTCCGTGTTCCTCACTAGCCACTGAATGGGCTCCGAGTCAGTGGTTAAACACCCTGTGGTGACTTCACTGAGCTGCTCCCAGCCCAGTTCCGTTGCTCTTTGCTCTTCTCTGCTAGGCACCTGTGTGAGAAGCTTGCCTCGGGCAGCCGTTCTGTGCAGCAGTGTTTCTGTCTCTTGTGGCGCTGTCTTCTCCTTGGTCCTGATAGTATGTCTGGCCTTCAAAGGTCCATTTGGTTCTCACTGTTTCCCTAATTGGCATCTTCTTCCAAATCAATCTTATTCATTTCTGTGGAGAGGCTTCTGCTCAGTCTTTGGGTTAGACCCAAGGTAATACCCATGGGAAATGCATAACTCCCACTGAATCATGGCAGAAGGGAAAATTTTGCCTCTTCTTTGTAAAACCCTTAGGAGAAATTACAATACTGTTTCTCCTAAATAGTGTTTTGATTTTCTTTTTAAAAAAGTAGCATGAATTATGCAACTCTCTGCATTCTCTTTTTTGCTTTGCTGCTAGAACCAAATCCATACATGATCTGTGATTTCATTTGTGAGCCTCACTCCCAACTCAACTTTAGTTTTTCCTTACTTGATTTTCAGTTAATCTAAGCAATTGTGTTGTATGCTATCTATTCTAGAAAGCAGCCTTAATTTTTTTTCTGAAATTAGACAATATGTAAGAAAAATATTCCTGTGCCTCATCTCATTGCTATGGCAGTGATTTGGCCTCATCTTATCTCTTCCAACTTGTGCCTCATCTGATTTTTGCTTATTCATTTACTTATTACGCTAATACCATATGCCAAGAACTAACCCAAAAATGTCAGACATTAGAATAAAGTTCTAAAATTAAATAAAATTAATAAGGTTAGAAAATAAAATATATTAAATTATAGTGAACAAAATCTTTTTCAAAATAGGTATAATTATGCATGTGATTTTTAATGAATAGGATAAAATCCTGTGGCTGGTCTCATAACTGCCATTAATTTGAGGCAATAATATGCATGATTATATAATATGTATTATTTGAAGACAACAGCAATAACTGTGAAACAAGAGGGAACACCTGTGATTTGAGTTGTTACAAAGTCACAAGAACTCTGCAGTACTGTGGAGTTTTGCCTACATTCATCACAGAAGGAAATGCTAAATTTCCATTATACCTTGGCCAAATGCAGATGTTGTGTTTGCTCCAGGGTCATGCACTGGTTGACTTCACACTCCTCAGCTGAGCAATCTCAGCTTCAGAACCCGTGTGCTGGGATCGCATTCGAGGAAGTCCTTCCGGAAGGGAGCTTTTGTTTGTCCCTGATCACATCAACTGCCCATTTCTCTGAGCCAGAACTGAGTACTGCACAACTTCAGGCCTCGTCCCTCTGATCAGAGTACACTCACAGGTTTTGGTCAGCAAGTAGACGGCAAACTCAGGTATTTTCCTCCGCCCCATCCCTGCATGCTCCTGCAAGGTGCTGTGAGAGTCCAAGCTTCCCAGCTCAGGCATCTGATCAATGAATGGTAGCATCTCCCTGACCCTTGGGGACTTGCAGCAGTTTCCTTGCCAAGAGATTACCTGTTAAAACCTGTGCTTCAGAATTGAACTTAATGCTAAAAAATATCAGTGTAGTCACCTACAGCTGAAAAGTTGTCAGGAGCGTGTGAGTGACGTCATCAGCCAAGCTTCCAGACGTGGTGAATCTTGAACATGGAGGGGCAATGTTAACTATGCATTCATCTAACAAGTGGAGGAAGTCAAAGGGCTTATATTACCAGAAGGAGACAAAGACCCCAAAAGTGAAGGTCCTTGTGCTGTTGTCCTAGACTCCTGGGTATCAGCCTCTGCTCACTTACTTTGTAAAGAGCCCTCTCTTTCTTGCCTGTCAGGTAAAATCTGTTTGAATCGGAACAGCCAAAAGGCAGCTGCCAACCCAAAGAACACTCGAGTTAGCAGGACAAGGCTTTGGGGCACAACAACAATGATCCCAACCATCCCAGAGTTGTTCCCTCTCCTCCTGGAGTTACAGGTGCTACAAAGTACAAGACTCTCGTATGTGCTGTGTAGATGAAGGGAGCTATAGAAATTTAAGGTGTAGTTTACATTTTCATAGACTCTACAACCAAATCAAGAGCAAAGCTGGTCCCCAAGAAACCGCTGTACACATACAAGACACCCTGCTAATAGGAACAAGTTCCATAATAAGGACTAGGGAATGTCTTTTGACTTTCAGAGGAGCAAGGCAGATAGTCCACAGGTTGAACGTAATGTGCTGATTATGTCTTGGAGATATAAAATGTCTTCAGGGCAGGAATCTGGTGCAGTGGTGAAGATGTTGCCTGGGGGGCCTGCATCCACATTGGAGTACCTGCTTCCAGTCTTATCTCTGTTGATTTCAGCTTTCAGCTAATGCACACCCTGGGAGGCATCAGGAAATGGCTCAGGTCATTGAAGCCCTGCCACCACGTGGAAGATCTGGAATGAGTACCTGGCTCCTGGTTTCAGCCTGGTCCAGCCCAGCTGTTGTGGGCATTTAAGGAGTGAACCAGCAGATAGAATACAGATCTCTCTCTTTCTCTCACCTTTTTACTCTCCCTCTCTTTTTCTCTCCCGCTCTTTTTCTCTCCCATCTCTTTCCCTTCCAAACAAAATGAACAAACAAAAAAAATTTTTAAATGCTAAAATACATTTCAAAAACAATATGCTCAAAAAATTTAAAAACGTTGGCCCCCGTGGCATCCGACACCATCCATAGCTCACGGGTGGCGGCAGGGTGCAGACATGGCCAAGTCCAAGAACCACACCACGCACAACCAGTCCCAAAAATGGCACAGAAATGGCATCAAGAAACCGCGATCACAAAGATACGAGTCTTTGAAAGGGGTGGACCCCAAGTTCCTGAGGAACATGCGTTTTGCCAAGAAGCACAACAAGAAGGGCCTGAAGAAGATGCAGGCCAACAACGCCAAGGCTATGGCTGCGCGTGCTGAAGCTATCAAGGCCCTGGTCAAGCCTAAGGAAGTAAAGCCCACGATCCCGAAGGGTGTCAGCCGGAAGCTCGATCGGCTTGCCTACATTGCCCACCCCAAGCTTGGAAGGCGTGCCCGTGCCCGCATTGCTAGGGGTCTCAGGCTATCCCGGCCACAGACCAAGGCAAAGGCCAAGACTGAGCCCCAAATCAAGGGCAAGGTCAAGGCTCAAATCAAGGCCCAAGCTCAAGCTCAGATCAAGAGCAAGGGCAAAGGCAAGGCCCAGGCTGAAACCAAGCCCAAAGCCCAGGCCGAAACCAAGCCCAAAGCCCAGGCCGAAACCAAGCCCAAGGCCCAGGCCCAAGCCAAACCCAAAGCTCAGGCCCAAGGCAAGCCCAAGGCCCAGGCCCAAGCCAAGCCCAAGGCCCAGGCCCAAGCCAAACCCAAGGCTCAGGCCCAAGCCAAACCCAAGGCCCAGGCCACACCTGCAGCCCCAGTTCCGGCTCATGCTCCTCCCAAAGGTGCCCAGCCCCCCGCAAAGGCTCCCTAGTAACAGCCTTTGCCTGCCAATGCAAAGGCAGAAGGACTGGTGTGACCCCTGGGCTGCTGTCTGTGTGGGGCTAGTGTCCTCCTGTGCTGTTTGTACAAATAAACCCGAGACAGGGAAAAAAAAAATTTTTTTTAAATGCTAAAATACATTTCAAAAACAATATGCTCAAAAAAATTTAAAAATCCAGAATTCATAAAAGGTTAGTATATTTTAATAAAAATGAAATATTATGCATGACAAAAAAATATACACAGTTATATATTTGCAACACATAGTGCAAACAGAGAACTAATTTCCCTGACATATAAAGAATCTCTAGAAATCAATAATAAAAAAGATCAACAACCCATGAGGCTAATGATCAAAGAATATGAGCAAATGTTTCCTACTAAAGGAACTACAATCAACTTGTAATGGCAAAGATCAGAGTTTCACATACTGTCTTAGCAAGAGTGGTGAAACAGGTTCTCCCATACATTGCTTATTGGTCAAAGTTTAAGCTGATCTGGCTTCTATGGAAGGTAATTTGGCAATATCTATGGACGTAGACTTCCACGACTTTGACGCAGCAAATCTACTCCCAAGTATTTATAGTGCACTTATGTTCACACATGCCTATTGTTAAGTGTGTACACAAAGTTTTTACTACATTATTTGTTTTAGGAAGACATTAGAAACGATCTAAACATCTGCCAGTAGGGAAAAGGTTACGTTTGTTGCTATACCCACACTATGTTGTTAAAAAGAATGAATCAGGTCTCTTGACATGCAACATACTCAAGGTACATTTTCATATGAACAAAGTACAGTGCAAAACTGCCCATGGAATAGCTACCATTTGTGGGGAACAAGGAAAGAGGGAGACTAACTTTTTATTGTGCTCCTTTTTTTTCCCATCTGAATTCATTCAAAATCCATCCAGGGTATGCTCTTATGTTCCTTTTAAATATGCCCTAAATATCAGAGTTAAAAAAACAAAGGCCTTTTTGTAACTCTGATAGTCCATAGTGTTCTCATGTCCAGTAAGAAAAGAAATGCATCCATTTTAATAACAGGACTAAAGGGCATTGAGAGCAGCCCCTGGGCTAATGGAGAAACTGAAGTGAGGAAGTATAAATAGTAGCCCCTTCTTGAGAGTGTGGAGGCCATGGTGGGCAGGTTTGGTTATCTCTTCATTGTTGGTTGGTGGAAGGAGAGGAGGGTTTCTTGAATTGACTAGAAAGAGGGGTTCAAGGAGAGCAAGTGGCAGGATCTATGTGCTTCCAGCGTGGGGTTTGTATTTTTGGTTGGCCAGGAAACGAAGATAATCTAGGACTGAGGAGAGTGTAAGTAGCCAGTCCCCAGCCAGAGAAACGTGTGTTTCCGAGGCTCTGCAGAACCGGCTGCAAGAGTTCACAGAGAGGGAAGGATCCATGGGATGCCTGGGAATGACCTGGGGAAGACCCAGAACCTCGTGATGCCCCAGTGGCTCGCTGGGAACATGGACGGGCCTCCTAAGAGGAAGTCCTCGTGCTGTGCCGGATGCCACAGAGCAATCCTGTGTCCCCATTGAGACACAGGGTGTCTCACAGAGTGAGGACGTCTTATTGTAGACACCGTATACCCACGTTGTGAATTTGTAAATCTAGGTAATTTTTATGTAATTAATATTCTTTTGGAGAATTGCTGTATTTGGCTTGTGGGTAATGTAAGAATGTTCAAGTGTGGAAACTTTAACGAAATGTGTTAAATCCTTATTAACTACACGTGAGAGAATCCTGACTGAGGGATGTAACTTACTCGCACCGAAACTCCTGCAGCATTCGGGTTGTAAATGCTGGGACCGAGTGGCTGACAGAGAGACAGCCAGCCACGTAGGACAGTTAAGCCATTTCACATTCCACGGGCTGCACATACTCTTCCGGTTTTGTCTGTAAACAGTGAACTAGTGAACTGGGGTGGGTTTTTGGGGGAAGGAGTAGCTGGGGGTTGTCTGCCTGGTTTTTTGGTGTGCACCGTGTATGTGGGAATTTGAGTTGTCTTGCCTTAATTGCACCATAACACACATACAATAAAACTTACTTACTGTAAGTATACAATATGATGATGCTTAGTAAGGTTACACAAGTACACAATCATCACCACAATTCTGTGTGGCGTTTTTTTTAAGGCATTGTCCAGGAAGCCTGAATCTTCAAATCTTTTGTTCATTTATTTCCATTTTATTTGAAAGGCAGAGAAACAGACACACAGAGGAAGAGACAGAGACACAGACTAAGAGAAATCTTCTATCCACTGGTTCACTCCCCTAAATCCCACAACAGCCAGGGCTGGGCCAGGCCAAAGTCAGGAGCCCTGAACTCTGCCCAGGTCTCCCCCTTGGGTGGCAGGGACACAAGTACTTGAACCATCACCTGCCACCTCCAGGGTTCACATTATCAGGAAGCTGCTTGGGAAGTAGAGGAGCTGGGACTGAACTAGGCCCCCCATTGTAGGACGTGGAATCCCAAGCAGTTAGTTAACCACTGAGCCACAGCCTGCCCCCACAATCCAGTTTTAAAACACTTCTGGCCAGCGCCGTGGCTCACTAGGCTAATCCTCCGCCTTGTGGCGCCAGCACACCGGGTTCTAGTTCCAGTCGGGACACCGGATTCTGTCCCGGTTGCCCCTCTTCCAGGCCAGCTCTCTGCTGTGGCCCGGGAGTGCAGTGGAGGATGGCCCAAGTGCTTGGGCCCTGCACCCCATTGGAGACCAGGAAAGTACCTGGCTCCTGCCATCGGATCAGTGCGGTGCGCCGGCCGCAGCGCGCTGGCCACGGCGGCCATTGGAGGGTGAACCAACAGCCAGCAAAGGAAGACCTTTCTCTCTCTCTCTCTCTCTCACTGTCCACTCTGCCTGTCAAAAAAAAAAAAAAAAACCACTTCTGTCACCTAAAAAAGTGTCTTTAGACTCATTTTTGATCAGTCTCTGACCCCTGCCTCTACTGATTTGCTGTCCCAAATTTTGCCTTTTCTAGAAATGTCATAGAGATGGACTTATAATAGGTGGTTTGTTTTTTTTTTTTTTAAAGATTCATTTATTTATTTAAAAGTCAGAGAGAGAGAGAGATCTTCCACCTGCTGTTTCACTCCCCAGATGGCTACATAGACTGAGGAAGAGCCTGGTGGAAGCCAGGATCCAGGAGCCTCATCTGGGTCTCCCATGTGGGTACAGGGCCCAAACACTTGGGCCATCTTCTGCTGCTTTTCCCAGGTCCTTAGCAGGGAGCTGGACGGGAAGTAGAAGCGGTGCCCATATGGATGCCGGTGTCACAACGCTGGCCCTATAGGTAATCTTCAGCATCTGCATTCTTTTCAGGCATGACGTTTTGAGGTGTGTGTGGTGTTGCCAGTATCAGTCATGCACGCTGTTGGATTGCCAAGTGGCATCTCACCCACTCACGAGTTGAGGAGCATTGAACGTTTCCAGTTTGGGGCTGTTCTGAATAACGCTGTGTGAATATTCTTGCATGTTTTGGTTTTGTTTGTTGGGGGGAGGGGCAGTTTCCAAGCTGTTCAATGACACCTGGCCAAGTTCATAAAACAAAGACAGATGTTCAGCCCCTCGAGTTCTCCACACTCGGTTCTGTCTGTCCCTTGTCCCCAGCACCTGTGGAAATGCTGAGAAGGACCATGCCAGGGGCCAAAGTCACATTCCTCCTGAGCTGCTCACCACTGGTTTGGCTGGCTTCAGACTTTTACATTCCCTATCAGCTTCTCCCACTGCATGCAGGAAAAATAAACAAATGCTAATCAATGCATGATAAATGCACTCAGCACTCTTTCTATTCCTCCTCTGTTTTTCTCAACTTTTTTTCCAAAGGACATAACACAATGTACACTCACTATAAAAAAAAAAATCAAACAAAGGAGTTTATTGTTTCATGGGTACAGAGTTTTGGTTTCGCGAGATGAGAAGAGTTTTGTCACTGGACAATGGTGCTGGCCACCACATTGTAAATGCAATGAGTGCCACTGAGATCCAAGCTGCGAAAGGGTTAAACAGCACATGTGAATTACCGCAATTTCAATTAATTTTTCACAAAATCAAACCTAAGGAGAAGTTAGAATAAAACTGGAACATAGTCCTTTTCTCAGATGGGTAAAGAAACTGTAGTCAACGTATATGATGACATATTAGGCCCTAAAACAGGGAAGGCCATCCTGGCATTTGCCAGAGCGTGGATGGAACTGGGGGAACTTCAGGGAAATAAGCCAAGCACAGAAGGAAGAGTGTTGCACGTTCTCACTCATGTGTGCAACTGTTTTAAAAAGAAAGGAAGGGCTGGCAACGTGGCTCATTTGGTTAATCCTCTGCCTGTAGTACCAGCATCCCATATGGGCACCGGCTTCTAGTCCCGGTTGCCCCTCTTCCAGTCCAGCTCTCTGCTGTGACCCGGGAAGGCAGTGGAGGATGGCCCAAGTCCTTGGAGCCTGCACCCACATGGGAGACCAGGAGGAAGCACCTGGCTCCTGGCTTCGGATCAGCACAGCTCCAACTGTAGCAGCCATTTGGGGGGTGAACCAACGGAAGGAAGACCTTTCTCTCTGTCTCTCTCTCTCTCACTGTCTAACTCTGCCTGTCAAAAAAAAAAAGAAAAGAAAGAAAAGAAAAGAAAAGGAAGGAAGGGATGGAGGGAGGGAGAGAGGGGAGCGGAAAGAGAAAAAAGTGATCCCCATCGCGTTCTGCTTGGGATCACACTGGGCGTGCGGATTGGCAGGGAGGGCCCTCCTCCTTCACACTGTTTGTCACATAACCATTTCCGGTACCCGTCTCCTACCCACGGAAGTGGGGCGAAAGAGAGCGGAAATCATGGAATCAAAGACGAGTCAGTTCGGCCCCGTGAAGAAGCTCTGGAAAATACTTGGGAGAAGAAAGTTCTGAAATCAACAGGAAAAGGAGCTGGAGCAGCAGAGAGCTGCCGAGTGTTCGGTTCTGCTCCCCGGGCTGAAGCGTATCGCACCTGAGACTGTCTTGAGTTGGTTCAGATTTTTTTTTTTTTAAATCTAGTGAACTAGAAGTGCACACTCACGCACATCTGTTTTTGTCTCTAGTACGACGCTGTCCGAATCAACCAACTCTATGAGCAAGCCAGGTGGGCCGTCCTCTTAGAAGAAATCGACTGCACAGAGGAGGAGATGCTGATCTTCGCAGCGCTGCAGGTAGGGGAGGTTGGCGGCTTTTCTCCGGACGGAGATGAGCCAAGCGTGTGCCGCTTACACTCGTGTTCTTCCAGTGTAAGAAAGAGCTCAAGTGAGGGGAGTAAACTTAAACTTAAAATGCTCCTTAAAACAATCTGCACCACCGTGAGGCAATGGTCTTGCAGTCTCTCTCCTTTCCTACTGCAAGCACCATCGGTGTCCCCATGAGGGGACAACAATGCCAGAGTGACTCAGATCCCACGTCAATTGTCCTGCACCGGAAGTAGCTCTTCCTTTCAAGGGCCGCTCAGTATCCCAGGGGAATTATTTAATTTAAAAAAAAATCGCACATGGATTTATTTATGTGCATGATTTTTTTTTTGCTTGCCCTTCCTGCCAACTTAAAGTATATACGTTATTTTCCTTTTTATTTTATTTAAGGTATACAGATTTCACACATGACATTTCTAAAACCTCCGCTTTTGTCGTAGTATCACATCAGCAAACTGTCCCTGTCCGCGGAAACTCAGGATTTTACGAGCGAGTCTGAGGTTGATGAGGTCGAAGCGGCGCTTTCTCACCTGGAAGTGACGCTGGAAGGTGGAAAAGCAGAGAACGCTCTGGTATGAACATTTCACGAAACTCAGAATCGTGACTCCGCTCTGACTCACTGGCAAATAGAGATTACCTTTCCTTTATTAATACTAGGAGACGTTCCAGCCGATTTTGAAAAACGGAAGCCGTGCTTTTCCCTCGACCAACTGAAATGTGGCAAGAACTGCCAAGCCTTCCCAGGTCAGGTCTTAGGAAAGGACTGGGAGATGTGTTCCTTACTACGAGGGTCCGGTGCTCATCCTGGGATCCACTGGCGCGGTGGGAAGGGAAGACAGCTGAGGGCCCCGCTTCAGCTGCTCAGAACACGGAATCGGTCCCTAAACTGAAGTCTAGAAAGGGCCCCTGCCTACTGCACGGCCGCTGTGGGAATGGAGAAAATGCGGACAAATATAAAGTGTTACTATCCGTTTACCTTCTCACATATGTGGCCCAGCACGGCTGATAGGAGTGAGGCCTTTGTCTAAGACATTCTCAAACATCCCTGAACCCTTCTGACTTCAGGAAATAAATAAGCAAAACCCTAGGCAAAGCATAAAGAAATAAAACTTTTATCATCTCTTGCTTGACTGAATGGCAGTCTTGCAATTGCAATGCCCCTCCTGTTTGATTCACCCATTGCCTCCCCTGTTCTTTAACTTCTTCAACCATGAGAGTAATTATTAGTTTAATTGCATTGACTCAGACAGGTGGGCCCCTTGTAATTGGATCGAAATAATAATGGGTAAGAATGAGTCACTGTATTCTTATGTACTGAGTGTGGGTTCTCTTATCATTAATTGCCTTAAAATAAGAAATTGGAATGCAAGAGCCAATGCTTAAAACAAACTAAATGCCAGGGTTCTGGAAAGATGCAAAGACTTGTTTCACATTTATGCAGAGTTGGCCCATTAAATTGAAGTTCTCTTGTCTGCTTCCTCCATTGAATTAATGCAGCAGGAAAGTGATCCATCTGGGAATAAATAAACAATTCCTCCTCCCTCAATATTTTTTATGTGACACCATACAATAGGCTTTTCAGTTTGAAAACAAGCACCAACATGAACTTTGAACCAAGTTCCTTTTGAGAGTTTAATCAGTGACCTGAGGTAGTAAGAGTTACTCCCTCTAAGGTAATAATTGCAAAATATTTGGTTTCTACAGAAAAGTCACTTGTAACTACAATTTTTAACTGGAATGGTAGATGCAGGGAGTGCTTCGTCAATTTTTTTTTATGTTTTTGTGATGTATGACATGCACAGAAAAGTGGAAAAAAGATAAATGTACAGCTTAACAAATTATATTTAACGAACGTGCAAGATACCACCCAAGGGAAGCAGTGGAACTTGACCCACTGACCCTGGAGCCCCTGCATGTGCCCTGTGTCCCCCCATCCTCCCCCAAACCCACACCCACCGAGGTAACCACCAGAAGTGTAGTTGGGGTGAATAGACTTGAATTTTTCATTTTCTTTCATTTGAATTCATTCGAATTTAAATAGCTATGTGCAGCAAGTGGCTGCCATGTTGGACAGTGCCGATGTAGATATGAGCTCCACATGTATGAAATCCCTGCTCATGAAATGTCGCTTGTCTTTCCTCAGGAGGACATCACTGATATCCCTAAACTCACTGACAGCCTCAAATTATTTAGGTGAGTAACCCTTAAGGGGGGAAGGGGTTACTTCTAAAAAAACATTGTAGGTAAAGAGTCTGAAATTTCACATTGCACATCCACTAGGTAAGTTCACAGTCAGACAATGGGTTGAATTCTTGTTCCACCACATGCACCAGCAAGGTGACCTCGCCAATGCTTTTAGGCCTCTGGGCCTCCAGTGTCCTGATACATAAAATGGGGACAAACCCCCTTCTTGGATTTTTTGGGAAGATTAGATAAAATAATGCTTGTGAGCCATTTGGTGGGTGCTTAGTTAATGGTGGTAGAAACAGGACCAGCGTCCACTTAACGAACACATACGCCAGACTGGAGTTCCCAGTGGGAAGGTTCTTTTACAACCTGGAAATCATCGTCTCTAGAGCTTTGATTCCAGTTTATGTAAAGTAGTCAGCTCGTTTATCTTCTTTCTCCTCTTTGCTTCTCATAAGTTGCCCAGTCACCTAAGGTTGATCGGAAACTTAAACAGGCAGAGAAACGTTGTGGGGTTTCCTTCCCCTGCCACAGAAAGAAAGGACCGCCACCTTTGGGTTGGTGCCAAAGTGTGTCAAGATGAAAGAAATAAGGTCTTTGGAAGGTCTATCAGTTAGTGTATCCCTTTATGGTTTGTTGACTTTCTTAACAAAGGGAGACTTCCGTGGGGGCAGCTGGGGTTGATAATACAAGATGCAAAGAAAAACTTGGAGACAATGAACAATGCATATCATGAGAACAGGTGCCCAAAGGTAACAGTATTTAGCCCTGAGTTTCTAAGATTTGTTTGTTAAAACAATAGGATCATTAATTTAACTTCCGTGGTATAAAGACTTGAAGGCACAGTTGACTCCTATTGGTATAGTCTGAACTACAAAAAGATGGTAACACTCTGAACCACAAACACATCTTTATAAAGTATTCCTGAGTCTTCTACAAAGAAATGAGATTGTCATAGACTGTAAGCTCTTCATGAACCTCATTGCGATCACACATGATGGGACATTGCAGATGAATCAAGATAGGGGAGTTTTCAGTGGCGATGATGTTCTAGAATTAAGTCCTGAATCCACACCGCTAAATGCCACCCTGAATAGCTTTTGTGCATCTGTTAATTCACAAAGTTGTTCTCATGTTTGGCTAATGGGAGCTTTAATAACCCCCTAAAAAACAAACTCCCCATAAAGATCACTCAGCATGTGAGGTAAAGGATGCAGACCCAACAGTTAGCAGTTCTAGATCACAGAACAACCTGAATAAATCATAAAATGAGTGTTGAGACTCATAATCAAAGGGCAGAAATTATAATTATGCAAGAAAACAGGCAGCATTAAAAGGAACCAAACAGAAATTCTAGAAATACAAAGCATAGACAGTTTAAATTGATTAGTTATATTAAACATCAAGTGGAAAAACATTTGAAGAGAGAACTTCAAGGACTTGTGCTTTTCCCCTCCTCCCTTTCTCCTCCACCTCCACCCCTACCCCACCCCCACCCCCACCCCCACCACCCCATTTCCTCCCTTGGTGCCTAAACAGACCCTTCTCAACTCCTGGCAATGCAAATGGCAAAACAGCTATGAAACAGTAAGAGGAAAGTTCCCTGAGACTTCAAAGAGCCCCCTACTCTTCTGACAGCTGCCTTCTACCCCCCTCCCCCGCCCCCGTCCTCCCTCAGTCCCAGAGTGACACATTCTGTCCTTAAACGGAACCTGAGTTCTAAACCACCTGGTGCACAGTCTCTTCCCAAGAACAGACATTCATCAACCTCTTTGCTTCCAATAAAGCAACCTGTCTCTGTTGAGGTCCGTCTGCGTCTCCTTTTTCCATCTCTCCTTTCTGGGGGTACAAAAGGCCAGAACCAACCCCGAGCTATTGCATACCTAAAGAACTCAGAAAGGTAGACATGAAAAACATAACATAGATTGAATGAGAAAGTCCAGCATACATCCACTAGGAGTTCCAGAAGAAAGACTGGAGAGAAGCAAGCATTCCAAAGAGAATGCTTGAGAATTCTTCCATGATTATTGAAAACAGAAATCTCTGAATTTGAGAATCAAATCTCAAACAAAATAAATCAGGGTAGTGGCACATAATGACTTTTAAGACAAAAATCCTTAAATTCCAGTACCCTTGAATCTCAACAAAATAAATCAGTATAAATGCACATGTTGGTGCAGCCAACTGTTGATAAGAGGAAGTCTTTAAAATCATTAGGGGGAAAAATGTCTACAGAGGAGCTACGCCAGTTAGGTAGCAGACTTCTCTTTGCCAACAAATACAGGCTGGAGAGTATTGTGAGAAGTTCTAAAAAGAGAACAATCGATGTAGAATTTTATGTCTGACCAGTCTTCAAAGAGCCTGCTTTTTTATGAATCCCTAAATATAAATCTGATTAGACATTGTACACTGGAAATGACATATGATAAACAGTGATTTGCCAAAACTAAGTTGTAACCACTGTTGGAAAGATGACTTTGGAATAAATAAAATGACTTCTAGAGAGAGACCACACACAAAATTTATCCGCTGAGCCATTCCTAGGCAAATTACTGTAGCAAACGGGTTCCAGTAAGACTTACACAGTGGGCTGCAGGAACTATGACTGTGGTCCATTTCATCAAAACTAGACTCTTAAGATGTGGTAGAGTTCTTAGAGTACTTCATGAAGAGATAGCAAGTGATCCTGAAAACCTGTGGTTCCACTGATTGTTTCATGGAAAATACCTGTAAATGGGGTTATGCACGTTTGTTTTTTACAAAACTAAGTCTTCCCATTTCTGACACTTCTGAGATGACAAGTAGCCATCGGTGATAAGCCTCAATGTTTTCAAAATAATAAATGCATTGGTCTCCCTGTAAAGTAACCATGATTGTAAAACAAATGAGAACACAACCAGTCTGGGGAAAGATAAAAATGCAGTGAAGAGAGCATTTTGGAAATAGTTATTTAGAACTGTTTCTATTGCTGTATGGCTGCTGACAGCGGTGTGGCTATTAAAAAGACAAATGCTGTGTGATCTCACTTATATGTGGTTCTAAAGTAATCAATCTTTAGAAGTGAACAGCAGAATGGGGGAATGCCAGGGGCTGCAGGGAGGGAACCCAGGAGGGGGTTGGTAAAGATACAGAGTTTCAGTTATGCAAGAAGAATTCTGGAGTTCTACTATACAGCACAAAGCAGTTTGCTAAGAAGATAGATTTTATATTAAGTGTTCCTATCTCACATGAGAAAAATCAACACTGTTCATAAAGGTAGGAAAAGAAAGCACAAGATGTGATGGGGATGTTTATGGCTTCGATGGTGGTGCTGGTTTCACAGGAGTACACTTATCCCCAAACTCCTAGAGGCTATGTACAGTTTGTTATATGTCAATCATATCAATAAGGTGGTTTAAATATATACATATTAACATCTGTATCATTTACAGCTTGGGAACAAAATTTTCCTGTGTTAAATATCATCTAAATTAAAAGCTATAGTGCACAGTGACTCTCATTGTTGATTTAACAATTGACACTCTTATTTATGACGTTAGTAATCAGCCAAGACTCTTGTCATGAGCTGCCAAGGCTATGAAACCCTCTTGAGTTCACAAACTCTGACCTTATTTAGACAAGACCATAGTCAAAGTGGAAGTTCTCTCCTCCCTTCAGAGAAAGTTATCTCCTTTTTGATGGCCATTCTTTCCAATGTGATCTCACTCACAGAGATCTTTCATTTAGATATTTTTTTTTTTTGCCACAGTATCTTGGCTTTCCATGCCTGAGAAGCTCTCATGGGCTTTTTAACCAGATCCTAATGACTTAAGGGCTGATTCTGAGGCCAGAGTGCTGTTTAGGGCATTTGCCATTCTATGAGTCTACTGTGTCTCCCGCTTCCCATGTTGGGTCATTCTCTCCTTTTAAATTCTATCAGTTATTATTAGCAGACACTGGTCTTGTTAATGTAATCCATTTGACACTTAATCCTATCTTTATGATCAATTATGAGATGAAACTGATCATTTTAACTAGTAAGATGGCATTGGTACCTGCCAACTCAATGGGATTTGGAATCCTATGGCACACTTCTAACTCTACTATTAGGGGTAAGTCCAAGTGAGCATGTGCTGAACTATACACCACCTCCCTCTCTTATTCCCACTCTTATTTTTAACAGGGATCAATTTTCAGTTAACTTTAAACACCTAAGAATACTTGTGTATTAATTAAAGAGTTCAACCAATGGTATTAAGGAGAACAAGAAACTACTAAAAAGAATAAAATGCTAAGTTGTTCCTCAACAGTCAGGACAAGGGCTGATCAAGTCATTGTTTCTCATAGTAGCCATTTCACTTCTACAGGTTTCCTTTTAGGTACTCAGTTAGTTGTCACAGATCAGGGAGAATATATGATATTTGTCCCTTGGGGCTGGCTTATTTCACTCAGCATGATATTTTCCAGATTCCTCCATTTTGTTGCAAATGACCGGATTTCTTTTTTTTTAACCGCTGTTTAGTATTCTATAGAGTACATATCCCATAATTTTTTTATCCAGTCTTCTGTTGATGGGCATTTAGGTTTATTCCAAGTCTTAGCTATTGTGAATTGAGCTGCAATAAACATTGAGATGCAGATAGCTCTTTTATGTGCCAATTTAATTTCCTTTGGGTAAATTCTGAGGAGTGGGATGGCTGGGTCATGTGGTAGGGCTACATTCAGGTTTCTGAGGAATCTCCAAACTGTCTTCCAAAGTGGCTTTACCAGTTTGCATTTCCACCAACAATGGATTAGTGTGCCTTTTTCCCCACATCCTCCCCAGCATCTGTTGTAGTTGATTTCTGTATGAGGGCCATTCTAACTGGGGTGAAGTGAAACCTCACTGTGGTTTTGATTTGCATTTCCCTGATTACTAGTGATCCTGAACACTTTTTCATATGCCTGTTGACCATTTGGATTTCCTCTTTTGAAAAATGTCTATTGAGGTCCTTGGCCCATCTCTCTCTCTCTCTCAGGATACACAT